GTAATCACTGAATACCGCTTCAGATCACGTACGCGCCAGTCTCTAATCTTCAGTTTCAGTCTTCGACGTTTGCTGAAGGATCTTTGGTGTGAGTATTGTTTTCTTCAAGTATCGTTGTCTCTGAATGAATTACAAAACGAGTTCTTCAGCAATCACTGAACAAGCTCAGTGTATGATCGCTGGAACCGAAAGTACAGAAACACAAAAAATACATCGAAAGGAAAAAAGGATTATCATCAAATCACTGAGAGAGAAGATCAACAATATTTTTATTAATTTATGTAATTTATTATATATTAATAGTAAAAATAATGTAAAAGATGGATAATATAAAAATTGTAAACTACATAAACTTTTTATTTTGATGTTATTTTAATTTTTTAACGAAAACTTTCTTATGATATATCTTGGTATAAAGAATAATTATATTATTATAAATTAATAAATCACATACATTATTCAAAATATGGGTAAATTGATCATTTTACTTGTTTTGTTATGTCTAATTCTATATCAGCAAATGCTGAACAACCGTTCTATCATGTTTTATTTTAGATGTGTTATCTATAGATGATGCTTACGAGAAATCTAGTTTAATTTCATCTCATTTCATGCATTTTATTTAGTAAATGGTAGTAGCATAATGAGGTCGATGTCGTTAGTTTGATCTTGAAAGCATTCGATTTCTAAAAGAAAGTTTCGAAAATTGATGTAGTAAATTGAAAAAGTGGTATTCTAAAGCTTTATAAGCGAAAAGACATCTACAAGGATTTGGATGTCCGCAAAATCATGAGAAATTTTGTCCTTATTTTTGAATTATAAAACGAGAGATGCTGGGACTTTTGAAATATATACGAAATTTTAGAGCAAAAATGTGATATTTGAAGGTTTTGTCCATGCACATTCATCATCAACACATTATGATTTTGGATAAAAATGAGTAAAATAACAATCTACTCTTATAAATTTTTTTATTATAACATTGTATTTTCAGTTTTTCTTATTACAACAATATATTTTTAAAATATTTTTTATTAAAAGCATCATACTTTCAAAATTTTACTCGTTATATAACATTGGGTAACATGTTATCTTTTGAACAAATTTTTCTTTGTAAACGTATCAAATTTAAAATAACATGGAAGCCACATAAAATAACTTACATGTCATTAAAAGAAAAATCTAATTCAAAAACAATATTTAATCATGTTATAAATTAAAAAAAAATACATTTGTCTATGCACTATTTACAAGTTTTTGAAGCTGCATCAAACCTCCACCCTGTCATTCCTTCCACAATTGTCTCTCCCATGACACCTGCATGTCCCACTCTCAACGATCTCCATGGCTCTCTCAATGAATGTCGTATGGCTTCTTTTTTTATAAAGTGTATCGTCTATCCATAAACTTCTTTTTGTAAGTTTCAATATACCTAATTGAAAATATGTTCCACTTATTTAGTTTTTGACATTACAAAGTAAACTATGAATTTTACGATGAACAAATGATTTTTTATGAATATTTTTATTCGTAAAATAGTGATCTTTTGTAAATATGTTTAATTAATGATATTTGAATTTTTAGTAAACATCTTTCATTAAATTTACAATGTTTAAATAATAAACATATTAAAATTGAAAGTACAAAATAGAAATTATTGATGACATAATAAAGTAATTATGAAAGTAGAATGTTATAATAAGAAATTCATGTCAACATTATCATACATGTGTACAGCCTACATAATGGGTAAATTCTTACAACTACGTTGCCTAATAAAAAATATTTTAAAAATATATGCAAAACTACATGATTATTTCAAAAATCTTATAAAAGGGTTTAGGTATAAAGGTTATCATATAGATAATTTAAAAGACTTATGAACTATATCTTTAACACTTTTGAGTTTGCGAAGAGCCTCAATTATGGTGATTCGTCCTTCGGGAGATTCGTTGGTGCAAGAAAGCGCAATCCCGATTACCATTTTGAGGCAATCAAGTTGTATCTTCATGTTTATGGATTTACCATCCGAGCTCAAGGCTTCTGGTTCTTGAATCATATCGGGATCCAACACTTGATCCAAGTTAGTCGGAAAAGCAGATTGCACCCATGTCTTTAGGCTTAGACCRCCCACGAAGCTCTCRTGTGTCGGGCTCTTACCAGTAAAAATCTCCATCACCATAATKCCRTAACTGTAWACATCTCCTTTGGTAGATGGTTTTGATCCCATACCGTACTCTGCAATCAATGTACAAACAAGTCGATGTAAATTACAATTATTCATAATTATTCATGTAGACATTACAACATCAGACTTATAGGATGTCAAAAATATCTAAGTATCTTAATAGATTGTTTTATATATAGTATTTGGATTCATAAGACCAAACTATTCTACATTCTATGTAAGTATGTTACAATAAATTTATAAGACACTTCGAAGGTTTTAACAATTTTTTAGACACTTTTAAAGTAAATTCATATTAGTTTTTTGCATAACACTCTTGAGAAGTGTTTTATGAAATGATTAAACACATAACATTTTTTCAAATAACGTCGTATAAAATATTAATAGAATGTCTAATTTCAAAGGTATCCTAAAAACCTGTTAAGATGTCTAAAACTTCCTATAAACTAACTTATTGTAACACTTTTATATACGACGGACAATTGTTAGAATATAAAGGATGAGATTAGTGAATTGACCTGGAGGTATGTAGCCCATGGACCCTTTAAGAACATGGGTAGAGCTGATTGATCGATCTTTCTCAACCAACATGCTAGCAAGCCCAAAATCTCCGATTTTTGCAGTTAAATCTTCATCCAGTAGAACATTACTTGGCTTTAGATCACAATGCACCACAGGAGCCACCACACATTCATGGTGGAGATAACTTAACCCACACGCTACATCAATCGCAACGTTTAATCTTTCCAGCAACCCCATTCCCTTCCCGATCCGTTTCTCCAAACTCCCATTCTTCATGTATTCATACACCAATGCAAGAAATTCCATGTTCTTGCGATCCAAACTGGAGCAGGATGTAATCAGCTTGACGAGATTTCTGTGCCTGAGATGCCGCAATGCAGCGCATTCAGCCAAGAAACTAGGCAATGAGCCGGTGGTTTCCATATCAAGAGCCTTCACAGCTATTTCTCGTGTCCGTCCTTCAAGGTTCAGACACCCTTTGTAAACAGAACCAAAACTCCCACGTCCGATTAGGTTTTCTTGGTTGAAGTTCCCAGTTGCGGAACATAGTTGGTCATATGTCACCATTTGATGCTGGCCCTTGAAGGAATTAATAGAACTGTCCCTGATCTTCTTATTGTCTCTTCGGAAGTAGAAAAAGAAAGCGATTGCTAGAAGTATTACCAATACCGAAGCAATAACTGCGACTGAGATCACAATTGCTTTGTGGGTGCCACCGCTTTTGCATTTGGAATCATAGCATAACTCTGGATTACCTTCAAGATGAACTCTGGTATGATTTGAGAAAACCCCATTGCTAGGCACTTCTCCTTCCAAGTTGTTGAAAGAAAGGTTCAAGAATTGGAGGGCGTTCAAGTTTTGAAGCTCAAGAGGGATAGAACCGGAGAGTAGATTGGAAGAAAGATCGAGCGTTACTAAACCTTTTAATTCACCCAAACGGTTTGGAATATTGCCCGAGAGAACATTTTTGGAGATGATCAGCTGCTCCAAGCTCTTGCAATTCTCGATCGAGTTTGGAATGTTGCCCGACAAACGGTTGTTAGAAAGATCAACTGTCACCACTCTTTCCAGACTCCCGATTTCTGGAGGCAAAGAGCCGGTTAATGAGTTACCAGAAAGATTGAGAATGGTGGTTAAACTTGGGAGATAAAGAACTTCTCTGGGTATACTTCCATTGAGCTTATTCATGGACAAATCCATGAAAGTTAGCTTATCAAAGTTCCTATAGCTGATGGGTATGCTTCCTTCCAATTCATTACTTGACAAATCAATCTGAGTTAACTTCCCAAGATTACCCAAAGCATTTGGGATATTTGAAGATAATCTATTTTTACCTAGAACAAGCTCTTGCAAGTTCTCCAATTGGCCTATTTCTGGTGGGATCTCACCCGATATGGAGTTGTAGCTTATATTTAGTAAAGCTAGGCCTTTTAGTTGACCAATTGAGGTCGGAATGCTTCCAGATATCTGGTTTGAACCCATGTACAACATTCTGAGTTTTTGGGAAAGATTGCCTATGGACTCCGGAATCACACCATCAAAACGGTTACCGTCAATGGCAAGGAAATCAAGCTTTGTACTGTTTACCAAAGAGTTTAAGAAACCGAGTCCCTCACCCCGTGAGCTAACGATATTATTGTACCCAATATTATACATTTCTAGCTCAGGGAGGTTNCTGTTTACCAAAGAGTTTAAGAAACCGAGTCCCTCACCCCGTGAGCTAACGATATTATTGTACCCAATATTATACATTTCTAGCTCAGGGAGGTTCCCTAGTCCTGGTGGTACWGTSCCRYKCAATYGGTTATGTGCCATTCGRATGATTCKTATGTTTGTGAGGTTGTGCAGCGAACCCGGAAAAGTTCCCGTGAATCTATTGATGCATAAGTTGAAAACTAGAAGATTTGGGAGTGTATCCCCAACGTTGTATGGTATATCGCCCCACAAATCGTTAGAAGCCAGAGCTAGAGACTCAAGTGAAGACATATTGTAAATTGATTGAGGAACTGTGCCAGTAAGATTGTTGATGTTGAGATCAAGATTCTTTAGGTTCCGAAGGCGAGATAAGTCACCAGGAATCGGGCCACTAAGTGTATTAGTGCCCAAGTTCAAGGTGGAGAGTGAAGAAAGGTTAGCAATGGAGGGTGGGATAGAACCAGAAAGATGGTTTCCAGCCAAGTTTAGAGTCTGAAGATTAGGAAGGAGAGTTAGGTCTAGAGGAATCGAACCAGAAAGTTGGTTCTGCATGAAATCAAGAACCCTGAGTTGGGTGCACCGGCTGATGTTTGCTGGGATGGTGCCTTGGATTCTGTTGAAGCTGATATTGAGGACTTGCAGGCTTAAAAGATTGGTGATCGTTTCAGGAAGTACACCATCGAATAGGTTATCTTGGAGTTGAAGTGATCTCAGCAATGAGAGGTTCCCGATATGAGCGCTAACGGGACCAGTTAACTGAAGCCCAGATAGGTCTAGACCGACCACCCTCTGGGTTCGATCATCACACGAAACTCGGGTCCAGTTGCATGGGGAGCTGGAGTTTTGATCCCACGTAGCTAAAGCATCTGAGGGTTGGGTGATTGTTTGAGATTTTATGGAGATCAAGGTTTGTCTGTCTGTGTTAATATTGAAAGTGGCAGAAGCTGAATATGGGTTTGATATGAAACAAGCAGAGAAAAGAAAGAAGATAGAGAGGTGGGCGATGAAAGCCATGATGTTTTAGAGGTCACAATAACTTTGGCAACTGTGTGGGTGTTTAAATACAGAGAAGGTTGATGGGTTTTTTTCTCCATTTTGACTAGTTCCATTTACTTCTAAAAGACTCGTACTTCAATTGTATTCTAACACAAGAAAATCAACTATAAAAACGAGCGGTGCAAGGGTTACGCCTTAGGACCAAACACTTTATAAATTTTATTCCATTTCATTAACGAGTGCTTAGTACCTCTAACCAAACATCCTCTTAATTTCATAAGACCAAACAATGATGTGTTCAACATACAAGTATCATTATGAAACAAAGAGGCTTCACTGCTGAAAAAACCCATGGTAATCCACCGAAAAAAGCCATCACCGACGGATCTCTCCGTCGGTGATGGTCAGTCCGTTGGTGATTAGGCGGAAAAAAACTGTCGATTAAGGCTCTTTGTTTTAGGGTATCTTAACAAGTGTTTTAGGACATTTTTGAAAAAAGATGTGTTATTCATCTTTTGATAAGACACTTGTTTAAAATTATAGACATTTATTCCTATAGTTTGTCATGTATTAAAAAATGAATGGAACGACTTTATTTCAAAAGCTGTGACAAAAAACAAGTTATTAAAATGTGTAAAAGCCGATCTATAAACTTATATTTATATATCAAAGGGTCTTTGGCCTAGCGGTATCGTATCCCTTGGCGTTCTAGGAAGTCGGAGATTCAAACCTCACCATAGGTGAAGAGGGTGTGTGAGTTTATTTGTTGTTGCATTTGTCTATAAACTTAAGTTTCATAAAATATTATGTTAAGAGCACTTACCTATTTTTATACACATGATTTTATCGTAATAACTTAATCAATGAAAAACAGAAAGTATGAATGGAGAGAAATAAAAGTCAATGGAATTGATATTTGATACAAGTGTATGCATGCTAGCTTTGTGATGTTTGAGGCTAGTTTTCAGAAAAGTAAAACAACGACCTCGTCAATAACATATGAGTGGAGGAGGATATCCTAACATTTCCATCAAACTATTTCAATAATTAATCCTGTTGAATATGTCTTCAATTCAGAGTCTACAAGTCGACATGTATAAGCATAGAAGCCTCTTTGTAACTCTAGGGGTGGTTATGTAAATTACATGGATGATTACGTTGAGTATAAGGGATGAACATTTAGGAAAATGTTCAAACGAGAACACCTTTGTTTTTAAAACATCTCTTTAATAGGAGATTCTGCAATCTAGTGGACTGGTTCATAAATTCTTACATTGTTGGAATCAACTCTAATTACATTAAATTACTAGTGGATTATCGACGGATTTTTAACTCATTTTCTTTAAATTAAAATACCCCGCTAATCCATCGGTAATTTACTGTAATTAGAATTAATCTGTTATATTTTTTAAAATTATACTTAAAAAAATAAAATAAAAATTATATTTTACGGCAGATGCCTTCAAATATTTTGTGAATTCGATTCGTATTAATTTTTCGTTTCCACTTCACAATTCACATTTCTTTCTCTCTTTGTCTTACAAAATGGCCGGTGAACAACACGATGTATCACTACTAAAAAAAAAGGGTATAACCGACGGATTTTTCTGGCGGAATTTCCGTCGGAAATATTCCCAACGGATTACCGACGGATCCCAAAAAAATCAAAACAAGTCAACTTTTATCCATATCCGCCACAGATCCCCCACTAAATTTTTTGGAAAAAAAATTAAAATTGTTTAAAACGGTTTTTCAACGGATTTGTGACGAATTTTTTACTTATTCAAAACCGTCACAAATCCGTCACAAATCCGTCGCAAAATTTGCCTAATTTATTTAAATAAATTAATTAGCGTTAATTACAAACAATTTTCGACGGATTTCCGACGGAATTTAAATTTTTAAAAAAACAAATCGAATTCCGTCGGAAATTGTTTTTGATTAACGGTAATTGAACTTTTATATATATATATATAGTAAGAAAAAATTCTTTTAAAATTTCCGACGGATTTCCGACGGAATCTAATTTTTATTTAAAAAAATTAAATTCCGTCGGAAATCCGTCGGCAATTTTAAACCTTTATATATATATATATATATATATATATATATATATA